CCCCCCCCCCCCCCCCCCGCCCCGGGTAATGGCGGAGCCTGCTGGGAAATGGTATCGAATAGCAACTGGGGTGGTGGGGAGAGCTGGTGCTAAGTGGCTTATCTCCCACGGGCCGACCATTCTCCGAGCCGCAGTCGCCACCCCTCTGTTGCTTATCTTTGAGTTCCACTTGAATTGAAGCATGGACATCTCCCGTTCTGCGGACACAGTTGTCTTAGTCATCCGTCGTTTTGCCTCCGGCACTACTTTATCCTTTTTGTGCCTGAGAGCTGTGGCCCGCTAATTGAACGCTTGGTTTTTGGATAAACTACACCAACGGTTACTGGGCAAAGAATTTTTCCATGCACTGATCGATGGAATCCGTTTTCCAAAACCCTATTTTTAGGCGGTGTGGTGGGAGTTTTACTTAGAATTGTCTTACGACTGTGCAAATTATCCAAGAATAGACAAGTTACAGATGGATTTGAAAACAGGCCTGGATTTCCCCGACTGCCATTCTATTTCAGGAACACCTGAATACATACAGCAAGTGCCTAAAAACTGAATCAGATTTTTTGCCTTCTGCTGGCAATTTCTTTATACATTAGCATTGCCGACATTTGTCACCTTGCCTAATGGGTTAATTTTACAAATTAAAGCTGTAAACTGGCAAGCTCATGTTTTAACATGGGTGAATCAGGCAGTAGGGAGAGAAGGCACTATTTGTACAGGGTAAATACTCCCACATCCTCTCCAAACGAATTTGACAACTGGCTCGAAGAACTTGGCGCAAATACAGAGCCTTAAATTCCATGCTGGGGGCAGTTGCCTATGATAGTTCTAAAGGTTCCTTGTAGTAAACTTACAGTTGTTCCAAGGATCAAGTCCTGTTTTTGTGTTTTAGAGTACAGACTAATTAGTGTTGTGTTCAGTCCAGGAACACAGCCTGCCCCCCGTCTGGTCTCCTTCAGCACAGACCCCTTCAGAAAGAAAGGCTAGGTGGCAGAGTGCCTTTTAACAGAACATGTTCATGTTCTCTTTCAGTCTTACTACTTTGACCGCGATGATGTGGCTTTGAAGAACTTTGCCAAATATTTTCTTCACCAATCTCATGAGGAGAGGGAGCATGCTGAGAAACTGATGAAGCTGCAGAACCAACGAGGTGGCCGAATCTTCCTTCAGGATATCAAGGTGAACAAAAGAACCTAGAAATCCCCTGCTTCATGATCTAGCAGTCCTCAGGTGTCAGAAACCACTCAAACTAGCAGTTGCCCTTCTAAAATGAGGGTACTTTTGGCTTCTATGCTTTTTTAGGCCTACCATCTCAGCTAAAAGAGGTGAATGGTAATGGGCAAGGATGTTAAATTTGAAACCTTTGTGGAGAAACTTGGATGTCCCTTTTGCCAAAGCGCAGTGGTTACATGTTAGGTGCTTGCTAATTTGTGGATTAATTGGTAGAGGCTGCAGATGCATTGATGTGACGTCTTCTCATTCAGAAACCAGACCGTGATGATTGGGAGAACGGGCTGAATGCAATGGAGTGTGCATTACACTTGGAGAAGAGCGTGAATCAGTCACTACTGGAACTGCACAAACTGGCCACTGATAAAAGTGACCCCCATGTAAGTATTGGCAATCTGGGAGCGAATGGAGGAAGTCATTTGCCTCTTAGGGGCTGGGAAAACTTAACCATTAACGTTCTTCCCCATTCTGTTTTCTAGTTGTGTGACTTCATTGAGACTCACTACCTGAATGAGCAGGTGAAATCCATCAAAGAATTGGGTGACCACGTAACCAACCTGCGCAAGATGGGGGCTCC